TCAATCGACAACAAATGATCCAGGACTTCGGCCAAACTGTCATCTTGAAACCCCAAAAAGTCGCCCAGTTTCGTCTCGAGCCATTTGCGTTCGGAAGTCATGACGGTAGATGATGGGACAGTAGTTGATGATGATGATGATGATGATTGCTTATCCAACAACAGAGGTTGTCATGGACAAAGAGGCAAAGTTGTCTCGATCGTGGTCGGCTGGATGAGGAGGTCAAACGTGGGTCTCCTCGAAGGAAGAGTCCCGTTTTAAACTCGGGATTGATTGTTGAGTGGCAAACGCAACCCGGAAGCTTTTGTTCTTTCCTCGTCGTCGACGCTTTGACGCTTTCGACCATCTCTCACAAAAGTGAAGCTTCATCAGAAGATCCGATACAACACAACCCTCATCAACCACTACACTTCTAATCTACTACTCCTATCTTATCCACCATGGACGACTATCCCGCTGCCGAAGCCATTCCGGACCCTGCCGCCACGGAATTCCAATATCGCGAATTGATGCAATTCTTGACCGACTCTCGGGATATGCGCAAGGCCGCCACAGGATCCGTCAAGCAAGGACTCTGTGCGGCCGGTGGAGCCATTGCCGGTGGATTTGTCCTAGGACCCGCCGGTGGTCTCGTGGGGGGTATTGGAGGATCCATTTATGGATTCTTGACGGCCGACAATTACGATGGCGCACTCCAACAAATCATGGCGCTGGAACAAGAACAGCAAGCCAAACTCATGACCGATGTGGGGGGAGTCTTGAGAGCGGCCGGAGCCACGGCGCAACAATTCGATTCGCCCGAAGCATTTCGTGCTACCTTGATGGAATTTGCCGCACAACCGGCAGTGCGAGATCAAATTTGGCGTTCTTGTATTGAGGCTTCCAGGACATGATAAAAACAAACAACAACACGAGAAAGAAGAGCTTTCATTGTGACAATACACATCATTACCAGGATCAAAATATATGTATGTTTGTCCAGCTTCTAGATGGTGTTGGCCGCTGAAAGAAAAGAAAAAGGAAGACTATGGTTTTGTGACAGATACCCCAATGGAAGGACCAAAAGAATGCATGTTTAGAACAATCAAAAGCACCAAGCCCAACAATTATCTGTACATAGATGCCTGCTTTATTTATTATGTGTTACATGCAAAGTCTGCTTTCTTTCTACTGTACACCTGTCCTGGTCCTTGCTACTACATTCTCCCTAATAGTAGCAATCTTATGTACCATCAGACCACCCTTCTGTCTTGCTACGCCCGTTTGTCATCGTCTGGAAAGTAGGAACACATGATGCGACCTGCCAAAAGACCACCCAACATTTGGGGTAGACAACGACCCATTTGATAAAAGCTAGATGATGATGATAGAGCCAACAAAATGCTGGGAGACAGCGTACTGCCGTGACCGCCACTATCCACACCGTAGGTGTAGAGTGGATACACAAACAACAAGGCCAACCACACGGGACCTCGATTCAACTTCAACAAAACGGGGACCACTTGCAGTGCCACAGTGAAGAGAGTTGTTACCAGCATTTCGTGAAAGTAGTCCTGAAGCAATAATGACACAGAGAGACAGAAAGCAGCGGAGGTGTAAGTAAGGGAAATCACATACATCAATTTGGACAGGAATGCTTCCTACTAAAAAATGAGCACTACATACCACAATCCAGGGATGCCCATCTCCCACAGCGCGACTGGTGTATTCGGGCATGTACAATGCCAATCCATCGTCAAACTTGGACAGGAAACAGTACCGAATCACAGTGACGGTAGAGGCTGTGCAAGCGAATTGAACAGCAACTAGAATCAGACATTCCATGACACTGGAAATCAACATACAGTGCAAAACAGAACGAGAATTGAAACAAAATAAATGAGTGTGAGGAAACAAGTGAGCAGAGGCGCAAGGGAAGTTCGGAGCATTACGGCGGTTACCTCAATCTCCCCAATGCAGCTTCACATATTCTAGTTGGGACATGGGGAACGACACCACCCATTCGATCTTTGATGGCCAACAATATCCATGCCGATGCATAGATGAAACCGGGAGCTTCTTGCGTGATAACTTGAGGTGGCACCAATCGCAGCAAGACACCGGCAATGACGCTGGGTCCGACAGCGAGGCCATCCCACAGCCAATTGTGCGACGCTCGTGGGGACGATGCCGACGTGACGGGATAGGCATACGATGCCACTCGAATCAGAATCGAAACAATCACTTGGATGGATGTGGCTGTCACTACCCATGCCGACACGCAACGCGATTCTTGGCTAATCAGCGGCAATAATTCGGACGGATTGACATCCATGAGATTTGTCTGTTGGAGCTTGCGTCGATCGTACGGAGGAGATTCACCACGCCAAGAATAAGCTCGTCGACGCATTTTTCCATTGGCAGTATTGCGTCCTCGGAGTGGAGTGGTGCCATTCATCATGGGAGATGCAGCTGCTTGGTCTGACGATAGTAGCGTTGACGCGATGACCATGGTTTCGCACTTGTAGGTAGATATTTCGGCTGTTTGAATGACAATGCTCTCTTCTGGTGCTAATAAGGGAATTGGTCGATTGTATGGTTGATGTGTTATAGTACTACTGGTAGCTGGTACCGGTATCGATTGGTTGCCATCGAGTTGCACAACACCGGTGCAGTGCGTGATGGAGTGTCATGGTCGTTCTTTTGGAGGAAGCTTCAGTTGAGTTTGGCGCTTAAATCTTTTTTTATAAATCTATGAGTACCGTCATGTTGAAACCGATCTCCGCAAACCCCGTCGGACCGTGCGGTACATGTACCAGAACCAAACTGGTTCATGGGACGGGTACCACTAGTATGTAGAGCTGCCAGACCTTCTTCTCGTCCTCTCGGGGCCACGATAGACTTGAGCTGCACTAGGAGAGTGTCTAACCCCAGCTCATACACAGAGGAATGGCTCTGCCAAGCTCAATAACCGCTGGGCCGAACTCTCTTAGCCAGAACCATTCTGCCTGATCAGGGACTCATACTCTCTTTCAAGCCTCCATGCCACGGCCTGGGCTCCCCAGGCACGGTAAAGTTCGTGAGCTCTGCTCATGTAGTGGGAGGCCCATTCCTGGTCCCCATTTTCCATGGCAAACTCAGCAAAAAGTTGGTTTGCCAAGGCTTCAACATTGCGGAGCCCACATCTGTGAAGTCCCACAATTGCCTTGTCAAAAGCCACCTTTACAGCATCAAACGGTTGATCCATTGCCACTTTCTGGGCCTCTACAAAGAACAGCAAAGGTGCGACATTGATGCCACCATTTTCAACCAAACCCCTGATAAGCCCTGTGGCAACGGGAACCTTCGACAATATTTTCTTGGACTTGACCCCTTGGAGCACTTTGAACCAGGCAGTTAAAGCGTACATTGCCATGAATCCAACATTGTAAGATGTTTTTTTCATGGTCCATTCTTCCACAAAATCGAACATTAACAACAAGAACTCTGCTGCATCCTCCCAAAACCCCAAGTAGATATTGCCAAACGCTTTGCATACAGCTAAGTAATTGCCCATGGTGTCACCAGGTGATTGAATCTCATTCATAACTGACACTTGATTCATAGCAACACCATCAAATGGGTTGCTTGTTGTGTGCTTTGCTTCTGGGGAGCTTCCAATCAAATTGCAAACTAGCTGCCACATCACTAGAACTTCTTTTTTCAACTGGTCTTGTCCATATTCGTGAGCCACTCGGTAGTAACCGTCACATTTGATTGAGCAGTCCTGCAAGTCATGTGCTATGGCAAACTGGAACATCATCTCGGTTGAAGCACAGAGGAATGCAGCCTGGGAGTCACCAAGTTCCATCCCAATTTGAAAACCACGTTGGAGATCTGCCAAACACTTGTACATTGGAGTTCTAAGATGGTTCACATATACAACCAACAGGAATATGACCGTAGGAAGGTTGGCTCGTGCCTTCAAATCATCCACCAGTTTCATGGCAACCTCGCCATATTGACAAGCATCTTCAACATGGAGTTGCCTCGACATCTCATATGCATGTGCTGCTATTGCTAGTGGGCTGTGGTTACAGAGGCCATGCTCACAAGTGAGGACTAGCATCCGGTGCAGCACAAACTTCATCCTGCTCTTGTTCACTCCATGGTATGCATCCAGGTAAAGCATGGCAAGAAAACTCATTTTCTTCTTCTCAAGGGGCTCCTTCATCTTTGGCAAGTTCAAAATGTGCTGTGGGGAGAGTTTGCTAAGTGCTCTGTTGGCCTTGTGTGAACCAGCTGCCTTCTGAAGTAGGTTTGGTTTGTTGGGGACTTTCTCTCCCATTGCGGAGAGGACATCCATGAGAACTGCCATGCTTTCTTCAAACTTAGATTGGTTCCTGAGAGAACAGGACAATACAAAGTACGCATCCACCTTTTGAGCAAAGTCTTCACCATAAGAAATGAGATCTTCCGCCATTTTCTTGCAGTAGTCATGGTTCCCACAGGACAGCGCATACGTTGCCGTCATCAGATGAAGCTTCTGGCATAGATTACGATTCTTGCCATCCCACGGCTTTTCTTCCAGTGACAAATGAAGTTCCACTGCTGTGCGAGCATACTTGAAGGCATCAGTGAATGCTGATTTCTTGTAGGCTTTTCCAGCTGCAAGAACATTCTCACGCACCAGAACGACTTGACATTCTTTGGGAAGGTTCTGGCAATATGGCCCCAGTAGATGAAGAGCAGAAAACAGGGCCCATAGTTTGGAATGTGGGTTGGCTCGAAATAGCAGCAAGATCAAAATTCCCAGTTGGATATCCTCCTCCTCCCTTGACATTTTTTCATTTTGCATGGCTAGGAAGCACTGCAAAATCTGATCATGGGTGAATTTGTACTTTCCAGCACCCTGATCATTCACCAGATTGCCCTCGCCTGCTTTCTCGAGATGGGATTTTACCAATTCGGTTGTCCCTGAGCTACCAGCAACATCGGAGTCTGCTACGGACTTTGAGAGCAGAAGAGCTCTATTTTGCTGTTTGGAATGATCTCCCTTCTTGATCCCCTCCAGAATACATGCAACATCGTCCGTGTCAAAAGAGAATCCCAAGCGGGCTGCAATGCGAAGAGTACTCAGTACGTCTTCATCCACACTCCGAAAAATGCACTCCAAAACAGTTGCAGCGACATTATCAGCCAGATCGGTTTGTGCTTCTATGGTTGGCAAATCCCAGCTCCACCGGTACAGAGTCATGTTGTAGACAAGTAGCTCTCTTGCATGCAGCGTCTTCAAAAATGACAGCAAGAAGTATGGATTGCCCCGTGTCTTTTGGTGGCACACTTGAGCCAATCCCTCACACTCTGCTTCCCTCACTTCTGTGATTGTGGAGATGATCTTTGTGCATTCTTGGATGTCCATTTCCTCAAGAGCCACAAAGCGCCAGGCTCTCTGGGAACTCTCTAGAGTCCCTTTGAGAGTCATTAGAAATGGACTGTGTGACGGATTGGTTCCATCTGTCGTTTCCTGATTTGGTTGTTCGAGCGGACGGGAGGCCAAGACCAGCAACATGCCACTCAATTTGCTGTTTGCCGCAAGACTAATGATCAGATCACGTGTATTGTCCTCGGCAAATTGCAAGTCATCCAGAAAGACCAGAAACAAGGGCAAAACAGACTGTAGGCAAATCAAGAATTCACCCAGGACGTAGGAAAGCCGTTCGATAGGATTGCGATAAGGGCTAGTATCCGCCGAAAAGGTCGTTTCGGAATCGACTCCATCATGGTTTCCACTGGTGTTTTTGTTGACAGATTGCTTTAGGAAGTCACTGCTGCCAGCGTTGGATTGCTGAAAGTCACCACTGCTGGGAATAGTGGTGACGCTCGAAAAAATGGAGGCATTACTGAAACGGGCACTTTTTCTCTCCTCTTCCGTGAGGATGTCCCGCAGCGCTGGAATAAAGTTGACGAGTAGTTGAATCTCCGCATCCTCCAATCCAAAGCTGAACAATTCCTCTTTGAGTGTTTCTTTATCGTTCATTTGGTAGAATAGGTCGGACATGGCTTCGACGAATCCACTGTAGGGAAGGGCGTCCTGCGTCTGACAGAATTTCCCTCGTCCCACCAAAATGTCGTTAGTGTTAGTGGAGAGTTTGTACCATTGTTCGAACAGATACGTTTTGCCACAACCCGACTCGGCTTCGATGTAGACTACCTGTGGTCCCAGCGCTTGGGGTGTGGGAGAGCGAACGGCATCCAAGGCATCCGTCAAAGCTTGGGTATGCTTTTCTCGACCTATCAGCTGCGAATTGGACAGTCTCTGAAGATTGAGCTTGGGTCCTTTTGGTGCCATGGTGGTGGCTAGCTAGCTGGCTAGCTAATGATGATGGCGTTGTTGGCAACGCTATAGACTACGAATAATTTAGACCTTTGCTTCGACCGATGTTTGTTCCTCCAGTTTTTAATAGTCAAAGATCGGGCATACCGGTACCGGTACCTTTACTGTATGTGCACCGGGCACCGGTACTGTACAGGATGACTTCTTTTACCGCTGACAGGTGTCAAAATGTGAACATTTTTGACGGTTATTTTGCGGTTTTCGGAAATGGGAACCCAGAAGTGGTCATTTCGCCAATCCTGCATAGCAATGACTGGCTCACAAAAAGAAAAGATTGAAGAAAAGAAAATGAATTTTACAACCATGGCAACAGTGTTGACCAAATGGCTATTAGCTTTACCAATACATGGAGATAGCAAATCCTTTTCTAGAGCTGGCTCCCCAACACACTCACAGAGCCACCCCTCAAAAAGGATTTGCTATCTCCAAGGTTTCCTATGGAGCCTCTATGAAAAATCAGGCTTGGATCCAATTTTGTTATCATTCTGCCATGGATTTCTCCATGGGATCGAACCGAATTGATCCGTCGAACGGAAGAAGCTTGTTGCCAGTGCCATTGTCGAGGCGTCGCTTGTTGTTGCAATATCGGTAGTGCCGTCATGGTCGCTCTTTCGAATGGTAGTAGCGCCATGGTCGCTCCGTGAAGAGACTCCGTGGAAGAAGAAAAAAGTCGACCGAATCGATCGGTCGAACGGCTGCCACTGCCGCTTTCGAGCCTAGCCAAACAAGAGGAGCCTGTCATTGTGGTGAGTAGTAGCCTTTGTTAAGAGGAGTAGCCGCTATAGAGGAGATAGCATCGTCTTGATAGAGTCAATAGAGTAAAGGTATTGAAATAATGAACATACGAGTGGCTTGGATCGATCTGTTCGAACGATCCAAGAGTGATGTCAGTTGAGGTTAGGGATGAGGTCATTCTGGTCCTCTAAGTCTTTTCACGGAACGTTCCGGTTCGCATTCGAATGTCGTATCCGGAGAGGGCTTGCGTTTGTCTTGATAGTTCAGATTCAGCCTGTACCAGTTTTGGCGAACTGAATTGTCCGTTCGCTATTCAAAAGATGCAGCCAGCAAAGCTGATGCCCCAGCGAACTCTCCCTCCAACCATTCAGCTTCTTCAACCCTTCCAACATTATAAGCATCCATCGGAAGGGCTTTGGAGAGCCGAAGATCTACGTTATACCATGAGAAGAAGAGCAACCTCCCCTTTACTTCGTTGTTGGTTTCTGGCGTATCCCTTGATCGGGAGTGGGGCGACTTCTTTCTGTAGTGTTGGCGGCATTTCCATCCATTCTTCTTCGCTTGTTTCGGCTTTTGCGCTCCATCCTTGCCGGTATCCAAGCACTGTGAGATCGCGACGATTCCATGTAGGTACCAGCCATTGTCGTCGTCACTCTGGACGGGCATTCTCAACCAAACGACAACAGACTCCAAGAAACACCCAAGATCGTCATTATGCTACCTCTTCATCGGATGTCTTGACATCGACGTCGTCCAATACAGTCAAACGGTTTGTCGCGTTGCAACAAAAAGCCAAAAAGAGAAGAGAAACAGGAGAAACGATAGTGGAAGGTCCTCGGATGGTATTGGATTTATTAAAGAATCCCAATACTCGACAATGGGTCCAACAAATTATCGTGGCTTCCGATGTGGACGCTTCCGTTCGTGATCAGCTGGAACAAGTGCTGCAGGAACCATCTGCTGATGATGATGATAATGATAATAACGATGATACGGACAGCACAAAACATGACAATATACAAGTCATGACGGCACTACCAAGCGTTGTCAAGGCATGCAGCGATACCGTGACACCACAGGGAATTGTCGCCCGGGTCCAAGTTCCTCTCTGGGATCCTGCTGCCATTGTTGCCGAACAACAAACGAAACGAGCACCGTTGTATTTGGTTTTGGATGCCGTTTCGGATCCTGGAAACATGGGGACGCTCTTGCGATCCAGTGTGGCCGTGGGAGTTTCCGCCGTCCTACTACTACCGGGATCCTGTGATGTGTGGAACCCAAAAGCCGTGCGAAGTGCCATGGGCGGGAGCTTTTTAGTACCCACCTTTTCGATGAAAAGTTGGGATGCGGCTGTGCAGCAGTTACAAGAGTGGAATTGTCCAACCATTTGGGCCGCCACCATGCTGCAAGATCAGCAAGGACAAGTGCTGTCGACGGCACATTTTGATATCGACTGGAGTGAACAACCCCATGCATTGGTGATTGGTAGTGAAGGCACTGGACTCAGTCCTGTGATCCGGGATTGCTTGGAGGGAAGCAATACTACACCGGTAGTTCAGGCGGTCCATGTGCCCATGCAAGGGGATATTGAAAGTTTGAATGCCGCTGTTTGTGGGAGTGTGATATTGTTTGAATACATGCGACAATGGCAGCAGCGGCATGAGGACTAGCAAATCGCGAAAAAATTGATCAGCATTGCAAAGCGGTAGGCAGTTGGTCGAGCTGTTCTAGCTAGAATTTGACATATCCTTGCACGGTTGCTAGAGGAGGCGCCAGAACCAAAAGCTGACATCTTGAAACGTAAAAATCAACGAGATCCAAAGCTCCCCAACAATCCACCCACGATCGCCTTTCGTAGCTAGCTAGATGAGCTAGTGTGGCTAAGAATCAACATTGGGAAACCGAGAAAAGCAGCAGTAATAGGACCGTAGATTCTTTTGAACTACAAATTAAAAATCGATATTATCATTAATCATTGCCCAGCCACCCAAAACATACAAACAACAAGTGCAGAAGAAGCTTTCACAGCCTCTTGCCTCTCTTGGCACCTGCGACTGCCAGTATTTTTACCATCCCCTTGTGGTTCTGGCCAATGGCAATGTCCAAAGCAGTGCGGCCATCGTTCTTCTGTGCATTGATATCCAAGCCGCTGCATCGTAGCAAGGCTATGACAACATCCAATTTACCAAAGACGACAGCCTGGTGAAGCACAGTCCACCCATCAGGACTCTTGGCATTGATATCCACACCAGCAACTCCTAGTAGCAGAGCTTTGACAATATGCACATTCTCAAGGGAAACAGCATGGAAAAGGGCGGTCATGCCATCATTCCTCTTTGCATTGATATCTACACCATCATGTCTGAGCAGAGCTTTGGCAACATCAACATGGCCTGCTTTTGCAGCCAAATGAAGAGCAGTGTTGCCCTGGGTTGTCCTGTCATTAGTATCCAAACCACCATGCCTCAGCAATGCCTCAACAATGTCTGCACAGCCAATATTTGCAGCAACATGAAGTGCTGTGTCACCATCTCGTGTCTTTTGATTGACATCCACACCTGAACATCCCAGCAGTGCTTTGACAACGCCAACATGCCCTGCCCTTGCAGCCAAATGAAGTGCAGAGTTGCCCTGTTTTGTCTTTTTGTTGGCATGCAAACCATCATGCCCGAGCAAGGCCTGGACAACATCAATCCGACCTGCATTTGCAGCCCAATGAAGAGCAGTGGCACCATTTTTGTCCTTTGCACCTACAAGTACATCAAAATAATCGTGCACTAGCAATGCCTTGACAACGTCCATATGACCTGCATTTGCAGCCCAATGAAGAGCAGTGGCACCATTGTCATCCATTGCTGCAACATCTGCAGTGTCATGTCCTAGCAAGGCCTCAACAACATCCATACGACCTGCTTTTGCAGCCCAATGAAGAGCAGTGGCGCTGTCATTGTCCTTTGCAGCAACATCCACACTATCATGTCTTAGCAAAGCCTCGATAGCATCCATGCAACCTGCATTTGCAGCCCAATGAAGAACAGTGGCACCATTGCCATCCTTTGCAGCAACATCCACACCATCGCATCGTCGCAGGGCCTCGACAACATCATTGTTGCCTTTCTTTGCAACTTGCTGAAGAAACGAGATTTTGTCAATGTTTCTCAATCCTGTATCCTCAAAACAACCAAGGCCCTCCTGCAGCTTGGCTTGAAAGAAGCCAGCCTTGCTTTCCATGGCATCATGAACAATTTGCAGAATCCATTTCTTTGCGTCCATTTGATGATGGTTATGGCCTTGTGACAGACAAAGAGCAGCAATTCCAACAAAAACAACGAAACATGCCACAAAAGCAATCATAGATACAGAGTAGTGCATTCCTAGAGAGTGACTTGCTTTCTCATGGCCAACCTGGAAAACCCCAGTCTCCAAAAGAAGCCTTTTTGTCTGATGCATAACGGAGGCTTCCTTTTGAATCTGTGGTGCAGGTGCCCTCTTGTGGGATTGGTTGGCAGTCCTACCAGAAATTTCAAGATTTGAAAGTGGGGATGACACCGGTGCCTTGTCTTCCTGTCGGCGTGCGTGTTGGGGAACTCCACTACTGGTATAGATATCTGCTTGATCGATGCTTGCTGCCTCTTCCACCAATCTGGTCTGATAAGCAGCACTAATTCTTTCAATCTGACTTGCAAGTTCATCAATGCTGGCTTGTTGGGATGACACTGCATCTTTCATTGGCTGTACAATTTTTTCAAGATTGATGGGTGCCATTACTCTCGCCTGTTGGGTTAGTTCTGCCACATGGACTCCGTTTTGGTGAATCTGGAAGAAACAAACACAAGATGTGATGAAGGTTCCAGTAACGACACATACAACGTAGTGAATCCAAAAAGCTGAAAACGGAGCCGCTCCATTCTGGTGGCGGACAGCTTGGGCTTGAGAGGTGCTGATGACATGCATTCTTTCGAGCAACACGAAGGAAAAATAATGGATGAAGCTACTCTTCAGCCAGATACGGCTTGCAACCGGATTCTGTTTGCCGATTCTGCGGTACTGGTACCGGTATATCGTTTGCTTTCCTGGAGGGCTGACTGTCTGCGACTGTTGGGCGTACTGTACCAGCTGCTGTTGCAGCTACTAGCTAGCTCTAGCTGGTAGCTGGGTCAGCTAGCATGGTACTCCCTCATCCAAAATGCACGAATCGAATCTTCCTTCACTAGTACACGAGAGGATTTAACAGGTGAAGGAGATATAGAGGGGAGCGATTTAAGGTTGTCTGGATCCGAAAAGAGAAGAAATAGAGGCGGATTCAATCTAGTTCGCGGGAATGTCTGGGGTGCTCGGCTGAATTTTTTTGACGGCGGTCCCACTGGCTATCTACCTGGTATCTAGCTAGCTGGTAGCTTCTAGCTAGCTAGCTAGTGGCTACTACTAGCTAGCTAGCTAGAGAGCTACATCTTTTAAATCTGTACTAGAGGGAATTATTAAGTTATGATTGAAAAATTCAATCGTCACGATTGCAGTACCAGCATCAAGGGGACAAAAGCCCTACTGGGATGTGACTTATCATACCAGTACTGCTTTGCCATGAAGCCATCGCGTCGTGATGGCTGGAGAACGATTTCGCCCAAAGATGGCCATGTTTCTTTGCGTCGCGGCCAAGGAGTATTATGGAAACTGGTTGATACTACCGGTAGCTAGCTACGACTGTAGCTACTAGTTAGTTTGGATCCTGCGACCAGCCTTGTTACCGGTACATGTTCGAACCGCTTAACCGGCTTCCATCAAAGATCCTCAAAGTCTTCTCGGGACGTTTGTCGTTTGTTCCAAGATGCAAGATTGCTTTGCGATGAGAGCCTGGGCAGTGAACATTGCACGAGTTGAGTGAAAGTCACCGACTTTACTTCGTGTAATTGTCTTCACTAGTAGAGCCACCATTCGCTTGTGAGATACTGCTACTACAAAAATAGTCCTTGTTTCTTCCATCAACCATGATCGTCTTCCCCTCAGCAGCCGAGAATGAAACCAGTGTTTCGTTGACCGCGAGCGAAATCCAAGCCATCTTTCCCAACGGCGTGGAAGTGAATTTTACCAGCCATGACATCCGTGTCCTGCATCGTCCGTCGTCTGACGTGCTGATCCTCCAACAAGGAGATCACATGGTACGATTATATCTGACCACGCCCGAGTGGGATTGGCGGCACAATGTCACGACGTCGTATTCCTGGCAGTTGAGCATGGCTTGGATGAGCGGCCCGAGTACGGATATTGCGGCCGATGGTTGGCTCTACTGGAACCGCGAGAATACCATCAACAGTCAAGTACAAGCTAAGAAGGCTCTCTTATCGGCCGACTCTGTCACGTTGCATTTCCGAGAACCTGCCCAGCGCATGTCAAAGTGGGGATTTGGGAACAATCCTCCGCCAGAAACCAAAATTGTTCTGAAAGACGTCTTGATGGGAGCTCAGGCGGCTGAATCCAAGCCCTTTCGACCGTGTTCCTTGGGCGTTTGCGAAATTGTCGATGGAGTTGTGGTCACTTCGGACAGTGTCGCCGAAGAAGCATTCAACCTTGTTGGAGGATCTAAGGGGATGATAACACTCTTGGCCATTCTCAGCTTGGTTGTCCTTGGGTTGGCTATTGGTTGTGCCAAACGACGTAAAAAGACGACGGCAAAATACTCCCCTATTGGAGATGACACAGAGGCAGATTCCAGCAACGATGATGCTGATGAATCTGGGGAAGAGAATGAGACTACCGCATGAAGAAGCATTCAATAGCCTCACTCTTTCGTGTCGCTACTACATGTATAGAACCCTCGTTTTGTCCCATCTTCAGTGCCTCCACTGCTCAACGACAAAAGGCTGAAAGTCTGAACAATCTTGGACCATGGCTCGACATTCTACAACTGCTATTTTGATGATTTGTGTAATTTTGGGCAACTGTATTCCTTCCGGACGTCTTCCAAGAGCTAGTCTCTCCGCCGAGACTGGCTAGACAACGCAAAGTTGATGGAGACCCTCCCTTCAGTGACTAGTGCTCCACGTATTTTCGTTGGAAGGACTCTAGCGTAGTTCAAGTCTAAACAATGTTGGAGCGTGCTTAGCATTCTGCAACTGCAATGAAAAAAATGTGATGGTCTGTCCTAGTTTAGACAGCTGTATTTCATGCAGTGCATCAACGAATACTCGTCATTTCCGCCTCGTCGGGACACGAAACTTGTGGCAAAAGAAAGTTGTGGGGCTCCCCCTCGGTTGGCAATCGGGTTTCCATTTTGTCAGACCACAACGACTCACTGAATTTCCAGGGCCCACAGCATGTGTGCCACTCTAGCTACGGTAGGAGATCCTGTAAGGAGATTCCCACTGCTGGCAAGTTGCAGATAGCGAAACGTGTCATCTCGCCAATCAGTTTAGTTGATTTGATGTGTCCCAGTACTGTAGATTGCACCATGGCACCTTGTTTGCTGGAGCTACAGTACCATATCATACTTCAGAGTTGCATTTACACACGGTTCAACCTTCCACGGCGTGGAGCAGCACAACACCTACGATTAACTTGGGAATTACAACACCTACGAATCTTTCAAAGTGGTATCGCATACTAGCTACTATGCATACTAGTAGTTGCAGTCTTTGGGCACTACTTTCCTTTGAAAACCCCTAATCTACCTCCCTTCCTTGTTTTGATAAAAAAGGGAAGATGCCCATGCACTAGCAATCGATCCATAACACAACGCCTATGCATATGAATATCCAAGGGGTGGAACACGCCAAGTCCAACACCATTGACAACACTCCGACCCCAAAGTGAGGACATAAAGAAACGCATTATAAAGTGGAGAAAGCGAGATCCGGACTATTCCAATTCGACCCACTAGAAGATTGAGTGATCATGTCTACCAAGCAGAAGCAGGCTGCCCTTTTAGTAGCACTCGTGATCGTCGTCGTCGGTCTACTCGTTGCCTTTGCGGAGAAGACAGCTTTGCTTCAGAAAGAGAATGCAAAACTGAAGAAACGGTATGATGACATGAAAGCCAAGGAAATTCAAGAATTCACGAAACGAATGTCCAAAAGCAAAGAAATTGCTGACACCTGGAAGGGACATCTTAATAGTCTGATGCATGCAGACCGCGATGGTACAATGGAAATGGCTAACCTTGCAAAGGAGAATGAGGATTTGAAGAAGCAGATACATGAAACAGACCGCCATGTTACACAGAGATAGCTGCCCTAACGGAGATGTTGAGAATCATATCACCAGCCTAGAGGAAACAGACCACAATGCAACAGTGAAGATAGCTGCCTTGGCAAAGGAGCATGAAGGTTTGAAATGCAGACAGATAGTCTGAAGGAAGCAGACTGCGATGTCACAATGGAAATGGCTAGCCTTGCGAAGGAGAATGAGGATTTGAAGAAGCAGATACATGAAACAGACCGCCATGTTAACAGAGATAGCTGCCCTAACGGAGATGTTTGAGAATCAATCACCAGCCTAGAGGAAACAGACCACAATGCAACAGTGAATAGCTGCCTTGGCAAAGAGCATGAAGGTTTGAAATTGCAGACAGATAGTCTGAAGGAAGCAGACTGCGATGTCACAATGGAAATGGCTAGCCTTGCAAAGGAAAATGAGGATTTGAAGAAGCAGATACATGAAACAGACCGCCATGTTACACAGAGGATAGCTGCCCTAACGGAGATGTTTGAGAATCATATCACCAGCCTAGAGGAAACAGACGACAATGCAGCAGTGAAGATAGCTGCCTTGGCAAAGGAGCATGAAGGTTTGAAATTGCAGACAGATAGTCTGAAGGAAGCAGACTGCGATATCACAATGGAAATGGCCAGCCTTGCAACGGAGAATGAGGATTTGAAGAAGCAGATACATGAAACAGACCGCCATGTTACACAGAGTATAGCTGCCCTAACGGAGATGTTTGAGAATCATATCACCAGCCTAGAGGAAACAGACGACAATGCAGCAGTGAAGATAGCTGCCTTGGCAAAGGAGCATGAAGGTTTGAAATTGCAGACAGATAGTCTGAAGGAAGCAGACAGCGATGTCACAATGGAAATGGCTAGCCTTGCAAAGGAGAATGAGGACTTGAAAGCACAGATGATCAATCTACAAGAAGCTCACCACAATGCTACATCGAAAATAGCTTCCCTGGCAGGGGAGAACAAAGATATGAAAATGCTGATATGGGCAGCAGACCAGAATGCTACAAGCAAGCTGGTTGCCCTTGCAGTGGAGTTCAAGAAACAGATTGCCAACCTACAAGAAGCAGACCATGATGCAACACTGAAGATAACCGCACTTGTGCAGGAGGATGAAGATTTGAAACTGTGGGCAGACAGTCTGAAAGAAGCAGACCACAATACAACACGGAAGCTAGCATCCCTTGCAAGAGGCTATGAAGATTTGAAAGAAAAGACGACCGGTTTACAGGAAGGAGAACAGAGCACCATAGCACTGATAGCTGCTCTTGGAGAGATGGATGCTGAGCTAAAGGACGAGGTGGCTGCCAACAGCGAGAAAGTCAATACTTTGTACAAGGAAGTGGAATCATTGACTAGCCGCATGGATGATAGTGAAAGGACAGTCGCAACGTTCAACACCTGTCACACTCCAGGCATCCAGGTTGGAGCACACAAGAACCGTGGCCTTTACCAGAAAACAGATGTTACCATCCTCTTCGAGCATCATTATTTGGCTCCGCCAAAGGTGTTTTTGTCACTGCAAACTATTGATCAGCATACGTACCAACGGCAGTCAGTTGCACTAAGTGCATTGGATATCGGCACCCATGGTTTCACACTGCGTTTTAGCCAATTTGATAATGGACTCTACTATTCGGCGACGGCGGCCTGGATTGCCTTTCCGGTGCATCCAGATTCCTAGAGGGCTTGCTTTGTCTCTATGACATGGTTTACGCGGCTGATTTTTAAAAGTATGATGGTAGTACGATCGCAAAGGAATGCCAAGGCAAAATCAAAATAGCTGTGGGGGCTTCCAGTCCCACCAAGTATGCATAGGAGTGATGCGTGCACTACTAGCTAGACTTGATGGCCCACCAGCCAATGCCCATGGCAGCATGATTCAATTGAGGGTGTCAAAAATCCCAGCATGTCATTGTACTCTGTGAAGATTGTAGTCTATGAGGATCATTTGCCCGTACGGTATTTGCTGGCAATCAGTTTGAATACGTACATTATCACGAACATGCTTGAGGGTGTGATTTCGTTTCTGACTTTTTGACCTGACACGTTTTCGCCGCCTTTGCTGGCTTGCAATTTTGGTGACCGACCTCAACCGACCTTGAGCTCCGGTGCACTATAATATCTCGTCATTCTCGTTTTCAAATCCAATAATACGCCGACCATGACAGCGACAACGACTACTTGTCCAGTAGTAGATTTGACAGTCTTGGACGACGGCGACTCCTTCCAAGACGCCTTGGTGCGTCTGGAGAGTCCTTGTCGGGTGGTGGGCGATTTGGTGTTTTTTTGGTTTCGTCAGCAACCGGCCGTCAAGTTTTACGGATCTCTCGATGGGTATCGGTACAACCACTCGCCCTTTGTGGATGGCCAAACGACCAGTTCTGCCGTGGTGATATCGGGAGTGATTCGATCCAGGAGCAATCGGACCGTGAATTTGACGTCGGTGGTGCTACAGCATAGTAGTAGTAGTAGTGCTGTGGATGCCACCGCTACGACAGCTACCCCCTCTTCCTACCGCCGGCGGTATCATCGTCCCATTGCCGAGAATGCTCCACGAGATCAAGTGTTGAAAGATCCTCGCTTACTGCGGCATATTCTGGAGAATCATGTCCCTTTGGAAGATATGCAAACTTGCATTTTTCCAGTCCATCCTCTGTGGGAGTGTGTGGGAAGATCCTTATTGGTACAGTCAAAATTTCAAACCATTGGCGAATATAATAATACCCATACCGGCACCATGACGACGATACTGGACATTCAATCCATTCTACAGCAAATCTTTCGAGGCGCCGCACGAGAGGAACAGCCACAACGTCACAATAACAACAACAACAATCCATTTCGACGAACTCGAACCAGTGTTTTTCCAAACAGCAACCAGGCCGACTATGAACAACTGTTACAGGCGGCGGCTCATGTCTGTGCTGTAGCACTGCGGCGGGGTGGTGCTCGATTCTTGACGCCGGATACCTATGTCCAAACATCTGCCCTGGAGATACTCCATCGGTGTCTGCTTCATTCACCCAACAACAACAACACCAACGAAACCGTGACCCAATTTGCACTGACACCCACGGCCAGTATGGGCGAATTGGCATTTCTACGAGCCGCCTGTATTCAATTGTCGCAGTTACAGTTACAGACCCAACGAGACCATATCCAAAAAATGGCGCAAGCACTGCTCTCCAATCACGGCACGATGGTGCCCCACAGCAAGGAACAATTGTTGAGTTGGACCAAGCCACTGGCAAGTGACAATTTACTCTGTGAACCCCTCAAACAAGCCGGTGAAGAATTGTTTGGAGTGGGGTGGTTCTGGGATCCCTTGCCAGCAGCTAGTTAGTTTGTTTGTTGGCAAGCTACCAAAAGGAGAGGAGCATGCATGCCAACAGGGATGAAGAACACGACCATCTCCCTTAGTTTTTGTCCTTATTATTCCCCAACCCATTGATGTTAACAATGGGATTTGTGCTTGGGTCCTCGTCGTCACTGTTAAATCTATCCATGTATCCATCCAGTTGACCCGCAATACCGGTAGCTACAATTATTTATGAACTGTTTTCATCAAATAGTTTTCGTTTATTTGGTCTGTGTATATGGTCAATGAAAAATCAAATATCCACTGCCTGTGTAGCCGTAGCCCACAACTACAATACTAGCAACCGTACCGGTAGTACTGTTTAATACGCCACAAGGCATGTTTCTCCCAAAATAATTGATTATTGTTGCCCTTTCCATTCAATCTAGCTATGGTAGCTCCATCAATACGGCTTGGCGGTTGCGTAGGGACCAGCCGATGCTACTGGTACGGCCTGTGTGGTGGGATAAATCTCAATTTCGGGGTCGTGTGTTGTGGGAATGGCCGAAGCGTAGACGGGAGTTGTTTTTGATGGCGTCCAATCCGGATTGTTAAAGCCCGATGCAAATCCATCATCTCCTGACACGGGAGCTGGAATGGGTTCCACGCTGCTACTAATGGGTGCGGTTGCATAGGGAGCCGAAGGTCGTGTATTGTTCATGGCGCCTGCTTCTTCGGCGGGAATCTTTTCATAGGGTTGTGTTGGCACTTCGTTCGGAGGCGCAAATTCGACGGTAAAGGTGGATCCGGGTCCAAAACCGTTTGGGACAATAATTTCATTGAGTCTTCCATCCGGTGCTTTGACGTGTATCGTTTGTCCGGCTACCACTCCCGGTGGCAATGTCACTTTGACGAGTTTGGAGGCGTGTCCTCCATGTTGGGGTTTGGTACTGCCATCCGGTTGCATTAACGTCAGTGCGTTGCCGCCTCCGTACGAGACAAAGTGGGCCGTGGCTTGGCCATTGACAAACGCCGAGGCGGGTGGTTGATAGGCAGCATGTTGTTGTCCCCGTTGGCCGGGATAGGCACCGCCATTCTTCTTTTTCGTCTTGGTTTCGCCTGTGACGGGGTCGGTGATGACCTATAATATTGCAGAAGACATCGAACAGAAGAAGGGTCAGAATGGGTATCATCTCTTGGGAGGGGTATCTCATGGGAGAAAACACGGCCAGCCAACTAACTTACTTGGGTGGATGATGTGCAGCCCATTCTTCTATATATATATCTTGTTCCTCTCTTGGTCTATTGCTCGTTAAATGAGTTGGTTTGGGTCTTGCGGATATTGTGGTACTAGCTAGTAGTTGGTTTTATGAGCAGAAATAGAGCAGAAATAGCGCCATCGTGTGATGCTTCTTTTTTGCTTCTTTTGGCGTGGGTCCAAATTGAGTCTTGCCAGTCATTGAGAAACGGGAACCGCGAAACTTGATTGACATGTACCTCACCGTAGTAAAAGGGGGGTTTAAAGAGTAGACTACATAGAGTATGGAAGTTATCTACGGAATCCGGCCAGGGGCCAGGTTTGGGAAAAGAAGAGACAGAATCTGTTACTAGCTAGGATCAGGGGCAAGAAATTGAGGACCAACACAGGGGCCAAAGGGCTTGACTTTTTTAGATCCATGGAGACATAAATGAGTGGCTTCAACCAAATTAGTTGAGAGTTGGGTCTGGATGAAGAACAACAAATTTGTGATTAGAAACATTGAGTTTTGTTTGCGTTGGTAGTAGCAAGGCGTAGTAAAAGAAAAGTGTTGGCCTTTGAGAGCCAACATGCCGTCCACAGAAAGAACAAAAAGGGATGGAAGAGTCAAGACAGGATTTGCATGGTCTTAATCTTGGAAAATTCTCACAATCCAGAGCAGGCACAATTTGGAGTGGATCTTTGGTCCAGTAGGAGTTGGATTCCAAAGCAGTGACATGTACATCAATGATAGCAGTAGGACCAAGTGCAAACAAACAAACTGTGTATGGCACGATCTCCATGCAAAGATTCGGTTGAGGGGGGTAGAAAGGAGCTTAATAAGGGGGGGCTCATTTTTTGATGACCAGCAAAAACTATAGGGGGAAGCACCATTGGCAAGCCAAAGAACAACGATTTTTCTTCCCATCATTCTCGTGCTGCTACTGTACACGTCGATCTGATCGATGAAATAGATAATGAACGACAATCAACATGCCGCCAATCAACCATTTGGTATACTAGCTCGACATTGGCAAATGCCCGAATTGCTGTCTCTACGGAATCGAATCTGGCTCTCTTGGATCTTATTGTTCGCCATGTCCGGAATTGGTGTGGCTGGCATCATTTGCACTACTACCCAAGTCTGCGGGGATCGTTACCACCCGAGCACGACAATTCACTACCCTTACACTCCAGATGATATGGAAAGGCCCGCATCTCGACCAATCGATATACCGTCCATGCTACCCACCGCCCAGAACACAACGGTCCTGGATACCACCGCAGGACCTTCTGCGACTTGATGGCATGACTGGCCGAGTGGATGACCCGGACAGCAAGTTACTGCCAACATTGACGGCAATACTCGTTGCCTATCCAAAAATCCAATTCATGGATTGGTCGAAAGCTTTGCGAACCAAACGGGAAGATGACTTTCATTTTACCTCGTGTTGCCATCACGCGTGAGTGGTACGGTACGGTGGCAGGTGGTGTGGGTACGGATGACTTGAAGCAGAGGAAACCAACCAACCTAGCTAGCTAGCTGTCAGCTACAAAGCTCCCAAACCCCGATAATCATCCTGCCGACAAGTAATCAATCAAACTTTCAAGTTCTTGACACACTCAACACATCTTCTATTCTACAATCATTACTTCCAAAGGAGGCTGCTGAAATCGCAGCATTAAAATAAGAGTGATGACACTATATTACCGGATTGCACCGATAGCAACCAAAATTCATCAAGGCGGACTTTCCATCTTCTGCATCTTGTTACAGCCCCTTCAAGGGACCATGCTCCACCAACCATCGGTCCACCGGACGCCCATAGCGATCAAACTGATGAACGATGAAGCTTCGTTCTCCATTAAAGTCTAAAAAGTACCCTTGTTCATCCGTTTGATCGTACTCTTCTCCCAACCATCGTCCTTTTTCTTCCTCGTTCTTGCTGGTGTACGGCAATTCATCTGCTGATCCGTCGCCAATATTGTTTTGTTTCGCGAGCTTTTTTCGTTTCCAGTGTCCAATAATAGTACCTTGCACACCCACCGTATTGACCAATCCCATACGATTCGGTTCTGCCTTGGCGTAGGGCAACCCACCCGAGTAAAAGAGCCAATTGTGAATGGATTGATCATCTCCTTTGAGTCCACTGCAACAACAATCGGGGTTCTTCATCCAAACTCTCATTTCGGCGGCCATATCTCCCAAATACCGCAACATGGCATGCCGCGTTCCAATGGTAGTCCCACTGCACAACATGACTTCATCAAAGATTTTGGTCTTTTTGCACTTTTCGACGGGAACTTGGACCAACCAATGTGTCGTGCGTTGTTTGCGATGTTCTTCAAAGACTTGCAATCCCGTCACGGGAGGAGCCTCGGGTCCAAAAGGATCTCTCTGAAAGTAAGTATCACGGACATCCGCCACGAGGACCGACCCCGTACACGTGGTGCATTCCTCCAACCAATCCTTCATGAGGGCAAATCGTCCCCATCGTATTTTGAGATCATTGTGTGGATGCGCACACGTCATGGCTTCAGTTTTTTTTCCCAGTTTTTTTTTCTTTTTCTTTTTCCCCTGTTTTTCCTTTTCTTTCAAATCTTCAATGTCCTTTTGGCAATCGACAATTTTGAGTTTTTTCATGACGACATTTTGCTGGCGCAAATAGTCTTCCACGCCAGGTTCGGGCACATCGGAAATGGCGAGAATAATGTGTCCTTGATATCCGGTGCGTCGCAGGGATCCAACAAAGGATTTGAAAGTGGAAACGCCGTAGTTAAATGCCATGCCCATGACAGTAGCATGAGTGCTGTTTTGTAGTGGATTGTTTAGTTTGGGATTGGCAAAGGCATTATAAGGTACTTCCTTTGCTGCTTCTTGTTGTGTGGTACGGGTGGTACCGGCACTACTCATCAGGAGTCCATCGCGATGGTCAAAGAGACAGAGATCATAACTGAGGCTGTAGAAAATCAACCCCATGCTCACTAGCAACACAAGAAAGCCAATGACATAGCGAAGCCAAGGAGGAGAAGATGCTGAAGAAGAGGAATGGCCCATTTGAGGAATGGTCCCCTTCTTGCGGGAAGTCAGTTTGATCATGGGATCTCGGAAATAGACACGAAGATAACAAAAGGATCTGATTGAAGATTCTGGCAAAGAGTGATAAAGGGGATCTGTCGCTGTTGTGACAACTTTGTTATTAGACTAGTCTTTGTTTGCCATTATCGTTGTTTGTCGGAGAGATAGATACAGTGGTAATCTAGAGCAACATGTGCTCTATCGATTCCACCCCAAAAGAGTGGTACTATTCCATACCATAGCCCTACCATACAGCCCTGGAGAGCATATTCATTCCGCGGAACGGCGATCGTACAGGCTGAATCTAAACTATCGACACAAACGCAAGCCCGCTCCCGGTAAGACATTCGAATGCGAACCGGAGCCTGTTGGAACGTTCCGCGAAAAGACTCAGAGGATTCTGAAACCTCATCCCAACTGACATCACTCGGAATCGATCGATCCAAGCCACTGCTACCAGGTATGGTCCTCTTTTTCATTGTTTCGATACCTCTTTCTTTACTCTCCATTGACTCGTTCAAGATGATGCTATAGCGGCTACTCCTCTTAACAAAGGCTACTACTCACCACCATGACAGGATCCTCTTGGTTAGTTGGTAGTGGCAGCGGCAGCCGTTCGACGATCGGTCGTGACTTCTTTCTTCCACGGAGCGATCGACCATGACGCCTCCTCTTCCACGGAGCGAACGAACGACGCGACAAGAAGACTTCCATATTGAATGGCTACTGCTATGAATTATCTATTCTTCTCCCTCTCCTCCTTCATCCCAACCAAAGAAGGGAGTGGTATCTTCAGTGTCAGCAGTCTCCACATCCACAACTTCTCCCTCTTCAACAACAAACCTTTTGTTTGGCCAGACAGATCTCCGACTCATTTTCAATGGAGCCCACGCCGGTGTCCAAGTTGGATCTAAACTCAATTTCATGGCATTTCAAGAGTAAGTCCTGCCATAACTGGTTCTCTTTGTTTCCTGGAAGAGCAGGAGCTTTCTTGGATCTAGAGAGGAAAACCAACCATCTCTTCTTCTTTGTTGACAGAAATCCATCATTGGTGGTGTACTGCTTCCATGTGGATTGCTTGTGGCAGTGAACAGGTTTGTTCTTTTGCGTGCTGATTATTTTGAATTTGCCTGTCTTGTACTCCTCCATTGCCTTTGACAATTCCCCCATAGCCACATCCTCTGATTCTACATTGTATCTCTTACAGATGACTGCTTTGAGGGCACCAATGGTCAACCAACAGTCCTTGAAGGGAGAGACATTGTCTACCTTGTCGGCATCAAGGAGATCAACCACCAATCCAGCCAGGAATTCTCTGCTGAGCTCCATGACACGCTTTGGAAATAGCTAATGCTTGTCAAGGGGAGTGTGTGTGAGTGTGTTGCGGAGCTGCTTCTGTCAGCTACAAACCTCCCAAACCCCGATAATCATCCTGCCGACAAGTAATCAATCAAACTTTCAAGTTCTTGACACACTCAACACATCTTCTATTCTAAAATCATTACTTCCAAAGGAGGCTGCTGAAATCGCAGCATTAAAATAAGAGTGATGACACTATATTACCGGATTGCACCGATAGCAACCAAAATTCATCAAGGCGGACTTTCCATCTTCTGCATCTTGTTACAGCCCCTTCAAGGGACCATGCTCCACCAACCATCGGTCCACGGGACGCCCATAGCGATCAAACTGATGAACGATGAAGCTTCGTTCTCCATTGAAGTCTAAAAAGTACCCTTGTTCATCCGTTTGATCGTACTCTTCTCCCAACCATCGTCCTTTTTCTTCCTCGTTCTTGCTGGTGTACGGCAATCCATCTGCTGATCCGTCGCCAATATTGTTTTGTTTCGCGAGCTTTTTTCGTTTCCAATGTCCAATAATGGAACCTTGCACACCCACCGTATTGACCAATCCCATACGATTTGGTTCTGCCTTGGCGTAGGGCAACCCACCCGAGTAAAAGAGCCAATTGTGAATGGATTGATCATCTCCATTCAGCCCATTGCAACAACAATCGGGATTCTTCATCCATACTCTCATTTCGGCGGCCATATCTCCCAAATACCGCAACATGGCGTGCCGGGTTCCAATGGTAGTCCCACTGCACAACATGACTTCGTCAAAGATTTTGGTTTTTTTGCACTTTTCCACTGGAAATTGGACCAACCAATGCGTCGTGCGTTGTTTGCGATGTTCTTCAAAGACTTGCAATCCCGTCACGGGAGGTGCTTCGGGTCCAAAAGGATCTCTCTGAAAGTAAGTATCGCGGACATCTGCCACGAGGACCGACCCCGTACACGTGGTGCATTCCTCCAACCAATCCTTCATGAGGGCAAATCGTCCCCACCGTATTTTGAGATCATTGTGTGGATGCGCACACGTCATGACTTCTTTTTGATGCGAGTCCAATTGTTCTCCCTGTTTTTCCTTTTCTTTCAATCCGTCAATGTCCATTTGGCAATCGACAATTTTGAGTTTTTTCATGACGACATTTTGTTGGCGCAAATAGTCTTCGACGCCCGGTTCGGGTACGTCGGAAATGGCGAGAATAATGTGTCCTTGATAGCCGGTGCGTCGCAGGGATCCAACAAAGGATTTGAAAGTGGAAACGCCGTAGTTAAATGCCATGCCCATGACAGTAGCATGAGTGCTGTTTTGTAGTGGATTGTTTAGTTTGGGATTGGCAAAGGCATTATAAGGTACTTCCTTTGCTGCTTCTTGTTGTGTGGTAGGGGTGGTAGCGGCACTACTCATGAGGAGTCCATCGCGATGGACAAAGAGACAGAGATCATAACTGAGGCTGTAGAAAATCAACCCCATGCTCACTAGCAACACAAGAAAGCCAATGACATAGTGAAGCCAAGGAGGAGATGATGCTGAAGAAGAGGAATGACCCATTTGAGGAATGGTCCCCTTCTTGCGGGAAGTCAGTTTGGTCATGGGCATCTCTGAAATAGACATGAAGATAACAGCAAAAGGATTCGATTGAAGATTCTGGCAAAGGTGATAAAGGGGATCTGTCGCTGTTGTGGCGACTACTCTAAGTCTGTAATTATTCTTCGCTTGCCATTATCGTTGTTTGTCGGAGAGTCTATCGTATCGTGTTGAATACCCCGTGTTATGACCGTTGCAACCCAATTTTTGATCATCTCACAAAAGGATTTTGTTGTGGATGGTGCTGACGTCATTGTGATGTTCGTGACAAGCTCGTATCCGTGACACAGATGGATCTTGCCTCCAAGCCACCCAATCTTCCTTCTCATTTTTCTCATTGTGTTCGCAACACCCACAACCAGAACACAACACCACAGCTATCGGCACAGTCTACTTCGCAACCTTCAGAGCTCATTTATTTATTTGTGTTGCATTGCACAGCCATAGCATGTGCAAGGACGGTGAAACTACGAATAAAAAGTCTGCCAATGGCAGCAACGGCAGTAACAATGATAATAAGGAAGAACCCGCCAAGAAAAAAGCCAAAACGGACCAGAAATTCGACGTGGTCTTGAATCCAGCCGTCCAAACTCCCGCACACGAACAACAATTGAAAGACGCCTATCAAGCATCGACACCCTACCATCATGGTCGCATTGAAAATGTCTTTGCGCCTGATTTGTTGATGGCGTGCAAGGAACAAATCAAGCAACATTCCAAAGTCAATTTTAAAGAGACGGATCTGTTTCGGGTCTACCAGAGCATTGATTTCGCCAATCTGACACCCGGCTCTGAATTGGCCCAACAAATGCCCGCCGTCATGCAATTGCGACAAGTCCTGTATTCCCAAGAATGGAGATCCATGATTGAACGCGTCACTAATTTACAACCTGGCACGTTATCCAATCAAGTCGATTGTGCTTGCAATTGTCACGCTCCCGGATGTCATTTACTCTGTCACGACGATGTTATTGGAACACGTAAAGTCTCCTATATCATCTACTTGACTGAACCCGATTGGACACTAGAAGAAGGAGGCGCTCTGGAACTCTACGATTCGGTTCCAGAAGAAGACAACAACAATAATGCTGGTCGACGAGAACCGGAAACCTGTCCTTCCAAGACGGTCTTGCCACTCTTCAACAGCATGGCATTTTTTGTGGTAGAACCGGGAGTCTCCTTTCATGCCGTACAAGAAGTATTGGGAGAACGACCCCGTCTCAGTGTCCAGGGATGGTATCACGCTGCCAAAGCACCCGAACAAATCCAACATGCTACCCTTAATCGACTCAAGGAAATGAACACTGACGATAATACGAGCGCCCCAAATAATGACAGCACGGATGGTTTTACACCCTTCATGCCACCACAAGAAGAAGCAAAACAATCTTCGAACGACGACGAAACACCGACAATTTTATCCAAAGCGGATCGAACGTACCTGACAAAGTATTTGAACGACACCTATCTCAACCCCACTGCCATGGACGATATTCGAAAACGATTTGAAGAGGATTCCAGCGTACAGTTGAGACAGTTCTTTCGATCACAGTGGTCCGACGCCATCAAAGAGGCTACCAAAGACAAGGACCAAGCCAAACCCAAAGTAGACGACGACGGGTACTACCAATGGGGTGTTTCGGAGGAATGGAAACTGATTGGGCCGCCTCACAAGCAACGGTATCTGCAGTATGACGAAAAAGAAATGTCGTCGCAAAATGATGACAAGCCGTCGTCGTCGGCAGGACAACTACTCGCACAGCTCCAACAGAACGTCTTGCAATCTCCGCAATTTGCCAGATATCTCCATTGCGTCACCAGTTTGGGAAATCCCTTGGGGTACAAGGGACAGATTCGTAGATTTCGTCCCGGTCTGGATTACACGGTCGCTCACTATGGGATTCTCACGCACAAGGCCGTCCTCGATGCGACCATGTGTTTTGCGGCCGGTACCGGTGGAGTCCTGCAAAAGGACAGCGACGACAAGCAAAAGAAGAAGTCCAGTACGGACGAAAAAGACGACGACAATGAAGATGACATTGACGAAGCCGACATGCTCTGGCAGTCCGACGAGATGGGAGGCTTTGAGTGCTACATTGAAGCCGATGATTATGACGGCGAGTCCAAGGAAAAGGAGGAAGGCATGCCCGAAGCAGCTGACGAATACAATGCCGAGGATGACACCAATCTTTTGAGCGTTTCTGCAAGCAACAATACACTGTCCCTAGTCTACCGTGATCCAGGAACAATGCGGTTCATCAAGTACGTTGGATCTCGTGCTCCCAGCTCTCGATGGGACATTAGCATGGAATATCAAGTGCCCGAGGATGGAGACGATGTGAACGATGATGAGGGTATGGCAGAGAAGGAGGAATGAAGAAATTGTAGCAGGTGTACGAATAGACAGACAGAATCAATAGAACAGCACCAAGCTTATTGTACGATCCACATAGCACTTGAAACTTGACACAATGCTTCACAGCGTTGTCTGTTGCCTGTCCGCATTCTTCTTCGCGGTCTCTGCCACCCCTGCTGTGAAGAAAATAGCGGATTGACACACTCCCAATGGCTCAAAGCAGGCTGCTATCCGACCAATGCAGCCTCTGCCCATGGTCCTGAGTTTTCTCGGAGAAGTCCATACCAAAGATTGTCAGGGTCCCCAGAATGCTTTATTTGGGCAGTTTCCAAAGCCACAATCAACTCATCCAATGGTGCTTCAGGGTTGCGGAGCTTTCCCCTTCCACACCGGTTGCAGTCTCTCCAATAAAAAATTTCAGATTGCGAAGTCCCTTTCGCGGCATAAAACATCTCAAGTCGCAAGTGTATGTCCTGGATCGATACATTATGCTGCATCATTCTTGCCAAGGGTTTGAGGCTCTCTGACAACTTTGCGTAGTGGTTAAATGTCTTCAAGGAACTGTTCTTTCTCAACGCCTTTGCAAGAGCCCGTAGGCTCACTCCACCAATATGCATGCTTAGAGAGTCAAGCCGGTTTTGGGCAAGTATAGCCACGAGTTCATCATTGACAGTGTGCTGATGCCAACCATTTTCACCCACCGTCAGCTCCTTCAATGACACCAATCCAGTCAGGTTACCAAGAATGCCTTTAGGGGTCTTGACGCCCAAGCCGGTTTCAAAGTCAAGCTTTTCAAGTCTGCTGCTGTGTGGAATAATATGAAAAGGGACCCAAGAATCATCTTGCCGTGGGTACTGGGGATCTGTCCGTAAACGGCAAGATTTTACGTTCCCAATGACCGCACAAAGCAGCTTACTCAACGATGCTCCATCGGTACGTGGCAGGATTGTCACTTCAAAGGACTTGAGATCATTCATCATGGAAGGAAGAATATCTTTGCAAAGGTTGCAGAATGCTGTGCCATCCCGGACAGATGTAGAACTCACATCTTTCTGAAATGGTACCAATGTGAGATGTTCAAGGTGTACGCACGATTGCATAGCCTTGACAAACAGACGGTGGTGCCTTTGCTGGTGAAGAAAATCAAAAAGGACGGGTAGCCTCAGTTCTGTCAAGAGTGCAAGCTTCCTGTCACAAAACATTTCCAGTGTGGAGTGGAAGAGCTCAGAATCAAACCAACCCAGGCGATCGATAACAAAGCTGGTCAATTTTGGGAGGAACGGTTTGGCCCGCTGCACCGCCTTTTGGTTCCAGAGAGAGAGAGGTCCTTCTCGGAGATACGCAGGCTGCCTTTGTTGGTCATGATGTTAGACAGAGTCTGGGCCAGGAAATCGGATAATTCCTCGCCACAAAATCCGAGGACTGACAGATCATTCCGTTGAGTGTGCTGAAACAGCACTTGAACGATTTTCTTTGCCTCACGATCTGCTAGAGGCGGCTCAAAATGGGGCCCTACTCCCTGGACTTCACGAACTGCTAGAGCCGGCTCAAACCCAAATGCCTGGTCTTGTACGTGTTTCTTGCATCTCACTGCTATAAAGAAATCCAGGAGAGTTGCCCTGCCAAAGTGCCCGTTGTTGGAGGATTCTTTTGTATGCTCTGGAAATGCTTCCAGGACAACCTTGATGGAATCTGAATTGGAAGAAATTTGGCAAGCACTCCTCAGGAAACTAGCTCCGTCACCGTGAGGATTGATAGATTTTCCACATGTTGCACAGTTCCTGAATTGTTGCAGTAGACGAAGCACCATGTCGCAAGAAATAGGAAAGCACTGTTTCCCCGGAAAAGGATTCTGTCACCAATTTTGGATGTTGACGCAACAGAAACATGGCATAATCTGATGAAAATTGCTCTTCTCCTTTGTTAGCAAGCTGAGCTTTGGACAAGAGTACATCTTTGGTCAGAATCTCGCGCACAGTTGCAATGCTGCTCTTGCAGCCTGTGGCACTTGACCCCAATCGTCCATACTTCAACAACACATCCAGTTCCTCGAGGGAATAATCAGAAAGGCGCTTTTGCTGGCTCATGTTTCAGAAATCAGCGACAATCAAGCAACCCAACAACAAGACCAACAGCTTTGGCAACAGTGTCAATAGCAATGATTTTATCCACGCTGCTGATCGCAAACTCGGGACTGAAAGTCGTGAAAGTCGCACTTAAATTGACAAAAGTCGTTGAAAATGGCACGACGTTCTGTTGTTCGCGATTTTTGCCGTAGTAGAAAGCTTATTGCGCCTAGTTGTGCGTGTTCTGTAATGCACGACTATTCGAGACCCTTAGCGACTTTAAATGGAAAGACGTCTCTGGATTGTTGGCTAACCAGCTCAACTGGCTTTTAGAAAAGATACAAGGGTTGATTGAGCTATATCACAAATCACAATCCACACACAGCTTCCTTTGGATAAAGCATAATTGTTCGCAATCCTCTTGACCATGATGAAGGGCAGACTCCTTCTGCTACCGCTGGCCCTGTTGCTTCAGCGATGCTTGGCATCATCATCATCCCAGCAGCAACCCAACTTTGTAATTTTGCTCATGGATGATCTCGATTGGACGCTGGGAGGAACCACGGCATCGACGTTGCATCGAACGAGAAAGCTGATTGGCGCCCAAGGCAAGACGTTTTCCAACTGGTTCGTCCAGACTCCAGTGTGCTGCTGTTCGCGAGCCGAACTATTGACGGGGAAGTTCTTGCACAACCTTCGCTTGCCCAGTACAACGGCCAAAGGGGGTTGCATGCACGTGAGCGTTCTGCCAAAGAAAACACATCCCTTTTATCAACGAGACTACTTTGCGCAGTTCTTTCATCAATTGAATTATACAGTGGGGATCTTTGGCAAACACCTCAATACTCAAAATCCAACCGACTTTATCCCCAATGGTGTCGACGAAATGCTGCTCAATGGAGGCGGCGCCTATTTGGATCCAACCTTTACAGTGGGGACCCGAGGAAAAGGGGCACCCAAGGCGGTCCACTACAACAACTGCACGGAATCCACTGGCATGCCCTGTTACTCGACTGCCATTATTGGAAATGCCAGTCTGGCTTGGATGACCCGACACGTTCAATCCAACGACGACAAGCCATTTCTATCGCTGATATCGGTCAAGGCACCCCACATCCAGGATAGTCCCGGTTACCCACTCTCCATTCCAGCTCCATGGTACGCCAACACCACCATACCCGAACAAATGGCGCCGCGAACTCCCAACTACAATCTGTCCGCACAGGATCATCATTGGCTGGTCCGAAGCCAGCGGCCACTCACCAAGGTGGAAGCCCAAAAGGTGGACGATCTGTACGTGTCACGGCTCAAGACAATGATTTCGGTCGATGATCTAGTGCAAGATTTGTTTCAAAGACTGGAACAGCTGCAAGTCCTCGACAATACATACATTCTCTTCACCAGTGACAATGGCTTCCGACTGGGACAGTTTCAAATGCCGCAGTGCAAACTCCATCCGTACGAAAACGATATTCGTGTCCCCATGATGATTCGAGGTCCGGGCGTTCCAATTGGTACCCAATCGTCTCTTCTTTCGACGCATGTCAACATTATGCCGACATTGTTAGGGCTGGCAACAAGCAAGTTCGATAGTCAATCCATAGTCCCGCCCACCATGGATGGAACCAATTTGGCATATCAAATTCTCCACGATACTACTGATAATGATGAAGCAGAAGAAACTTCATCTACAACAGCCAACAACAACCCATCATCCTTGTTGATTGAGTACAACAGCTTGGGACCCGTGGTACGGTACAATCACTTGATCGACACGTACAACCACTCCTTTTTGGCACTGCGGATTTTGCAACCGGAAAACACTCACAATAATAATCAGCAGCTCCACAACTACAAGTACGTCGAGTTTCGGGACTCTCGCAAGGATTGGAATTGCACACAACCTCCACTCGAGCGAGAGTTTTATGATTTGGATCGAGATCCCTTTGAAATACACAACCTGGTGGATGAGATATCACCCCCCTTCCTGCAGGCACTCCAAGACAAAATGAAACGGCTGTTTCATTGTAAGGGAGGTAGTTGCCGAGCGGAGCAAATGACAGCGTTGCCACCGTCAGTCCTCCTTCGGTGGGATTAGTGAATATACAGCAATCTTCTGATGTATGGGCACGACTTTCAGAGATTTGAAAAACTCCAGTGATTTTTTGGGTCTCCGTCTTGAACTCTGGCGCAGCATTGTCTGCTAGCAGTTACATATCACTGTTGCGTTGTGCGAGGACGCGACAGCTACGGCGCATGGTTCTCTGCAGCAGCAAAAGTGCTTCTGTAGAAGATGATACAATGCTACTGGAATGGGCAGATCCTGTGTGGAAGCTGCAGGAGTAAGGAGACCAAGATTTGCCCTCCATGCTGACTCGCTCGTACGACAATGGAAGGATAGCATCATACAAGAGCACCATCGAATTAAAATCCTTTCTTATTAACACACAATATCAATGTCGCTGTGTCTGTTTGTTGTGCCACCAGTACGTCGTCTGCTGCGATTCTTCCTGATAAAAATATCGGGACGGGCTCTTTGGTTTTAAAAAGAGCAAACCTATGTCCCAGCCATTCGTAGGCAAATGTAACACTACACGCTTCTTCTTTGAACAAGCGTGCATGCTCGGTAACCTCCCACCCAAATGTTCCTCCTCTCCGCATCCAAAATTGAACCAAAATGTTGAGATTATCCTATCCATGCCTCTTTGTGACTCCTATAATAATGAATAAACCGGAGTTGTAGCAGAGGCTGCTGTTGATTGGATCAGTTGCATCGTTTCACTGACCTAAGCGGATCCGCTCGTGGCGTTGGCCTGTTCGCTTTCATTCTCATTGCCGCTACTGAGAACTTGATCCACGACAGTGTTGAAGGAATTGCAACGTGGGCACTGGATACCCAAGAAATGCCAAACCATTCGGTGACTCTTGGTCTCACAATCGTTGCACATAATGTCGACCACACGCTGTAACTCTGGAGGCATGGGGTGTTCTGCAATGTCCCTTGCTCTGGCCTCCCAGGCAGCTGCCATGCTCTGTTGTGACACCACCGTCTTTTTGCAGATGGGGCACCTATAATCAAATCCAGCTAGCTTTCGGAAGCAATGCGCATGAATGGCATGGCCACAGGGCAAGTCTTGAGGTGACTGCCTAGAGGAGAACATGTCTTCTCGACAAACTGGGCAATTGTTCTTGTATTTGTCTTTGAGGCACTGGTGTGTATCAAAGACAGTCACAGAAATGCACATGCAGCATTCATTGCAATGGCGGAATGCTTCCACACCACCCACACGGCAAAATCCACACCGATTGCAATGAAACGGTTTCTTGCTCTGTAGTGTCAAATAAGTATGCCATACAGTAAGGTGAGACTTCACGGAACTAGCGGGTTGCAGCAACGTTTCAAGTAGATCACTTACTTGAGACATCCATAAGTTGCACATTCCACAATGATATTCCCCAAACTGCGCGTTGCAATGAGCGCAGCAATTGCTAAGATAGATAGAAGCAAAAAGAGGTCAGAATGCATGCAGTCAGGAGGAAATGCAAAACTGAAGTGAAACCACAACCAAGGCGCAACATACCCTGCAGCCTGACGAGTATTACAGAGTTTGCACACAACCTCCCTGATCAAGAATCGATTCATGGGAGGGTGACCGGATGGACTGAGCTCATCATGGCATATTCGACAACCAAACACCCGGTTGCAACACGGCGCTACAATGTTGCAATTGCGCTCATAGTGCACACATGCGGAATTGCCGTCGGGGGCCGGAATCAGTGGACCTGGGGGAGGAGCTACTTCTATCCTCCCTCCACTCATCAATGCCTGGATCCTTTGACGCTTTTCTGGTTCGCTCAGGGTGGTATCTCGCACGATTGCTTGGATGGCCCGTCGACGGGCAATCGCAGCATCTTCTTCTGCTGCAGGCTCTGGTTGGGCAGGGGCGGCTACACCCTCATCGTCGTTCATCTCGTCCTCTTCTTCTTCTTCCTCCTCGTCGTCAAAATCATCGTCGCTATCCGCCATTTCAGCGTCTTGCATATTGAAGTCGTCACTCATCTTGTATACCGGTAGCAGGAACAAGGTTCACAAATTAATGATGATGACAATGCGGGAAGCCCCACTGATCTGATGTCTGATGCAGCAAAAAGAGTTTCACAGATACCGTATTTTAGTTGCTGGGGCTTTGGCGGAAGCTATCTTTCTGGTTTGGCGGAATCTCTGTCGTCCCAGCAGCCTCGTTCCTGCTGATACTATATGCTGATACTCGTACTTCTGTTTTCTGTTTGTTTGTTTGTTGCTTAATCAATCTCTACTTCCACTACCTTTACGGTACCGCTACTGTAGAGGTGATATAAAACAAGTTGCTACGATGTGTGTGTTGGAGGGGATGTGGTACCGGTACCGCTGATGACTAACCTGTTGCTGTGTCGACGTGAATGTTCCTCTCTTGCTTCAAGTGCGCTTTCCGCTTCGTCGTTTTGGGTTCGTTTCTTCGGCCCTCTTTTTCAAATCTTCGCTTTTACAAAAGAACGCACCCTTCCTCGTACCGATACCTCGTACGTACAGTACCAGGTACCGGTACCGTGTTGTTGGCTCGTGGCTTCAAGGGACCCCACTGTCCTCCCAAACCTTCTCAACCTGTGCCAGCTTATTACTGAATCTTTTGGTGGCCCCCTCCGGGGATGGGAGATCCTCACAACCAACCTGAGAGAAGAAATCTGAAGGAAGATGATCCTGTGTCCGATAGTACTATCATTCTCACTTCTTATCTTATTAGTACTCGCCTCGTCACCATGCTCTGCTATTTCCAATAGCAATGATAAGGATGCTTCAGCCCTGTACAATTTTGACGGCGACTATGGGAGGGAGTATCGATCCTTCATTCGCAAAATGATTCCAGGATACGATCACTTTTTGGAATTGATGGGTGACATTGTAGCCTCGATTGCAGCAGTATCCGAACAAAACAACGAGGAGGAGGACCTCCATATTTTGGTGATTGGTCCAGGCTATGGCGAGGAAATGATTGCCATGGCAAGAGCTCTCCCCGACACTTCGCGTCTGCGTATTACAGCCTATGAACCCAGCGAGGCCATGGTGGAAGCCTGTCGTCACATGATGGCACAGCAGGAGAAAACACTATTGAATTTGGCGGATCAAGTGACCATCATCCCCACTGCATTTGGTGCCACGACCAAAGACGAACGACAGTACCATGTGGTGACCATCTTGAATGTTCTGCATTTAATGCCGCCGGAGGAACAAGTCGTCTTGTTCGAAGCCGTCGCCAAGCGAGTGGCCCCGGGAGGCATGCTGTTGGTTTCGGGCGGTAGCCTGCCGGAAGAGGAGGGACTCCGGAACTTGATATTTCGTGTGGTCAAGCATCGATGGCGTCGCCTTGGCATTGATGACGAGGCACAAGAGAAAATTTTTGCTTCTTCCGGCAAGACATTCTTTGATATTCAGGCTGACAATCTTCAAAAGGTGCTCCAGAAGATTGAGGCTGATGGGGATACAGAGGATGAAGATGCGTGTACGTTGCACTTTTCGCCTTTGAAAGAACTCCAACGGGGCTATTCTGGTAACGTGGTGTGGTTTAGCGAGCGACTAAAGTGATAGATACAATAGCTATTAGGTGGCAACACCGGCAGTCTACCTCCATCCATCCATGCAATCCTAGATTGCTATAGCTAAGCAACTCTGTCATACCATACTCTCATCTTTCATCAGATCTTTTCTTTTGGCGCCTGATTGCTACAGTTTGCCACGCTACAGTACCGTCAGGCGTCGCAACTTTGCGGCATCCTTTTAGTTAGATCTACATGTACTAGCCAGTGTATCAAGCCATTACAAAATTACAAAAGTACAGCAGTTCATTTCATCTTATTCGTGTATTTGTATACTAGTAATTGTACTTGAACATACGTACACAATTTTTGGCCCACTGAAACAAACAAACATGGAAACTAATAGCGGCAGCTGGTGCTTTTTCTGTGGTGAACAGGTGAAGATTGTTGTGGTCTATCAATCAAAGATGAACTCTTGTGTGTGTGTGGACAGGGCGTATGTGTTGCTGGTTTGAATTTTGTGTGTTGGAACAGCAGTTGACAGAGTTACAACAAGAAGAGGAAGGGCACTCAACAAACTGAAAGAGTGAGTTGTTGTCTGAACCCCCAGAGATTGATTCTTTCAAAGGAGTACAGCTCCTTTCGAAACAAAGGATCCTCTGGGAAATTTCTTGTTTGTTCCTTTCACAGCACCAAATTTCCTTCTCTTGCATCAGTTTACAATCAATTCTCTTCTTTTTTCATAATAAATTCTCCACCATGGGTCCCACTCCACCGGCAAATATTCGTTCCTTTTTGGGGACTACCGAATCCAGAAAGGATCCGGCAATATGATCCATATACGTGTTGGGATTTTCCCCACCACATCCAGCCAACCCCAATTTCTTTTTCCCCAGTGCAATATTGTCCCACTGTGGTTGCGATAATCGTTGCAAGACACTCTTATTGTCGGATGTGCTGGCAGAAGATGGCAATCGAATGGGCAATTGATCGGGAAATGTAGTGGTTTGTTCCAAATGTTGCCCCAGCGCCGCGGCAAATCCTTGATCGTAATATCCAGTCGAGCCACGGGTGGATCGTACCGAGACCATGCCGCGTCCGGCCATTTGGACAATCAAATCGAGTCGATTTTGTTCTTCCCGCAATGCCTTGACGTTGCGCTGTTGTTGTTCTTGCTGTTGTTGTGCCTGTTGTGGCGCCTGTTGTGGTGGTTGTGCGTTGTTGTCACCACCACCCAATCCATCGAGGCCACTCAACGACGAGTCGGCGACGGGAAATCCAACATGGTCTCCATCGTCTGCTGTTTGAAAGGCTGCCGTCTTTTTGCTTTCTTCTTTTGCCCCGGAACAACAGTTACCCATTGTGACTTGTCTATTTGTTTGTAAGTAGTAGTAGGCTGGGTAAGTAGAAGGCAGGTGAAAGGATCGCTCCAATTGATGCAGTCTACTGTGGATTAGCCGCTTGCGAACGGCACCTCTTTCAACGATTTGGCCATGGTCGATCACATCGACGTTCTCTTTCGGCTGTCCACGGTCCGTCCGTCGCTCCAGTCATTGGCTTTGGGAGTCGAATGAGTCGACTCAAGCGAAATCCTTTTGCCAGCAAGGATCGAGGAGCGACCATGGCACAACAATCAAAGCCTCCAGCAATCCCAAAGACGCTTCCAATCCATTGACACACCGACGGTACTAGATAGTAATTGCCAACAGTATTAAGCGCCATCACTGCATCGGATCCACCACATTCTACCAAACAAAAAAGCTACTACACAGTTTCAATTCCATTCTCCTATTACTGTACTATTGAACAGCCATCATGCCCGCCACGGACATTACCGGAGAAGCCATGGCCAACTCGGCCATTGCCAATTGCGGATGGAGTTTTGTCGTCCTCATGTCCCGTCAAGGCAAAATTCGATTGAGTGAATTCTTTCAAAGCTACACGGAAAGTGAAAAGAGACGCATTCTCCGTGACATTGGCGCTGATATTTTGCCAAGAGCTCCCAAAATGTGCAATATCGTCGAAAAGGGAACCTACAAATTCGTCTACAGACGATATGCCAGTCTCTACTTTGTCGTGGGTGTTCCGCTCGGATTGAATGAATTGATTGTACTCGAACAAATTCATCTTTTCGTCGAAGCACTCGATGGATACTTTAATTCGGGTGAGTACTAATACTGATGAGCAGTAGAAATGGTTGGGTCATCGACAAGTGGCGCGTTGAGTTCTTTTCTTGTGTGTTTTCTCAAAACATGCTTCGTCTCTGTTTTTGTTTTCTATTATTACAGTCTGCGAATTGGATTTGGTCTTTTCCCTGCACAAATCCCTCCTCATTCTCTTTGAAATGTTTATTGGGGGCATGCTTTGTGAATCCAGTAAACGAGAAGTACTCAAATCCATTGTCGAAGCAGAAGAATTAGTCGAAGAAATGACAAAACCAGGTGAAGATACCGCCAGTCAGCTCGATGATGGATTGAGTTTCCAGGAACAATTCCAATTGGGAAGGACTCCGGGACGACGAACGGGACCCGCGGCCGGTCCGGGTGGACGTCGTTAAGAGTATTGTATGGTATGCAACAAGAGAACGTATGTGTGGAGGGAGCGAATGGCAATCTTATAGTGACACTAGTGGCTCCGTGATATCATCAGCGTTGCCGGTGAGAGGTATTTGGTTGGAGCTACAGTCGCAGTATTGCGCTCTAGCTAGTGCAGGAGCAAGGACAGCACTCCTATGGACGACACTGTTCATCCTCTAATGATAAGGTCTTTTAAGTCAGCTTCAACAGTGCCTCCCATGTAGGTTTTTATCTATCGAGTCTCTGGACAGCTAATTCCTCTCTGTAGTGATTGACTGAGTCGAGTCGATTGAAGGCGGGATCCCTCCTAATGCTTCCAGAACTGGAAGGCCGGGTTAGTCTCTCCCACACTTGCGTTTCGTGCTCTTATTGCTCTGGAACGAGTCCAGTCCAGTCTCTCAATCGTCTTCCCTCCGTTCTGACAGTTCGCTGTGTGCAAATCCTCCCATTGCCTGCTCATTCGCAATTGAAAACAACGAGACTACCACACAGCTACAGCAGTTTCGTTTGGTGTTTATACTGCAGCTTAGGACAACAAGAGCACTGCCATTCCCCACTATTCTACATCTCGACACGATACATACTACGCTGTACCAGTACCGCAGTAATACTAGAACATGGACACGTTCCAATTACAGTCGTACAACGAATTCGATTCCATGATGCAGGACGGTTGTGTTTTAAAACCCAAGGCAACCTTCTTGATTTTATTCGTTTGGGTTCCATAATAAGGTGACAGTCCCGACAATAGGATGATGATGATAGGAAGCAGCACATTTTATTTTTGGATTGATGACAGTTGCAAATAATGGACACAGTGTCCATTCTTGGATGGATGGGATTATTGATGTGTGTGTGAATTCGTTTGTGTGTGTGTGTTTGTTTGGCCCCCCTTTCCTTTTTCATTCCATTCATACAGTACTAACCATCCTGTCGTTTTCTCCTCTTGACGGCGCTGGAATCTACCAAGAATCCATCCTTTTTGGGTCCACTCTCTTCTCCATCAGATCGTCGTTTGTTGCTCCCTCCCGTCTTATTATTATTATTGCGGGCAATATTGGAGGATAATTTGGCGGCGGTTGGTTTGCTCGTATCGGCCGTTTCGCTTTTGATGGAAGGTGCGGCACTTCCATCGTCGTTTTTGGCATTGGGCGCCTTGTTGGGTGGTGAGTTTTTGGCAGCAGCAGCCGCGTCAGTGGGTGCGGCTTCTTTTTTGGCGGCTGCCACGGCAGAAGAGGATGATTTTCGCATGGACACTCGACTCTTGCTATTGTTGGCCTTTGGATTATTATTCGTATCGGGAGCTGCAGCGACGGTCCCGGCGGGTGTATTCCTCTGTCGTGCCGACATGTGTACGCGGAAACCAAAGACGCGTGGGACATATGCCGAGTTGGGTGGTAGTGGATCGGGAACGAGATTGGAAAATGTCATGAGAAACAAGTGCGGAAAAGTAGTCCCAAAGGCGGCCCCATCGACCCCGGCAGCCCCCGCTCCGTGATGACTGGAACTCCGTGATCGAATGGGAGGTGGATGATAGACACATTGACATTTGGGACAAAAGATTTTGACCGTGTCGGCGCCCATTTCGTCCTTGAGTCCGACCGGTAATACGGGTTGGCCTTGACATTGTGCCAGCGGACAAGTGCCAAATTCTTTGGCAGCGTACTGGTAAAAATGGAAATAGAAATTGGAAATGAAGGTTGAGAGCAGAAGAGTTAGTCAGTGGAGAGAAAGACAACTCATCATTCACATTCATCTAGTTGTATCTATACTACTCACCTTATTATACATGGCATCGAGTCCATGAGCCGTAATGATATATCGAGCATGTATAAGACCGTAGAGAGTACAAGCACTCTGTGTCAAATGGGAGTCGTCCGAATCATCGGGTCCAATTCGATCGAGAATGAGATCGAGACAATCGGAAAAGTTGGAGACACACGCTCGCAGTCCATAAAGATTGAATCCATCTTCAATGTACGATCGTTCCACTTCGCAAAACATTTCGTGGCCTTTCAGACCGCAGAACCTAATATGTAGTAAAATAGTGAGAGTGAAGTGAGCGAGTGACAGCATGGGCAATAGAGAGAGAAGAGATCCTTGTACTGTATATATCACTGGAGACGAATGGATCCATACAGTATATACTCACCACTGTATCCACGGTTCATCGTGTCCAGAGCCTGACGAATCTTCATTGAATGCCATGATGTCGATGTGACTATTGTGTTGTGTACTGGGGAATTGGCGGAAGTGAGTGGGGCAGTACGAGTAGATCTAGCCAGCTTCAGGTGACTTGGTGCAGTAGGTTGGTGGATGGAATGCAATCAACTATATGGGTTGAAAGTGTAAGCTTAGCGTAGTTCGGTGGCCTTCAGTCGTACAGGAGGTCCCCTTGTCGCAGCCTGCTGGTAAGTCAGTTAGCTGGGATTGATGGGCGGGGAAGGGTTGGATTCGGTGTGGGTATCGCTGATGATGTCTGTCACAAGGGAATCTTGGAGGCACTGTTGTTGTGGACTGCTTTGAGATTGCTGTTGTGCTGCTGGTCTGCCTCGTTTGGAGTTGTTGATGGCCCGCTTCGGGACGACGAAGGAAGGTTGGACGACGAAGGAAGGTTGGACGACGAGTCGAGTCCTCAGTCGAGTCGAGTCCAAAAAAGATTGCACTGTTGCTCTATGAATCAGGTCGATGAGGTAAAATATTGGGTTCAAATACATGCACTTTGCGTATTCGAATAGTTATTACCTCATCTACCTCGCTTCTGGTGTCTGGTCCACCATCGGAAAGTTGAAGACGACGAATGACGTTTGTTGCTACCCATCGTTCATTTTCTTGCATTTCGCCATCACGGTCACAGGTGGAAGCAAAGACACAAAGCATCAGGTAGATATATATATCCAGATCGGCAAATGCATTCCAGCCAGCTTACTCATCACTCACATCAGTAGCATCGTTGCAAACACCTCATCAGCCAAGTGAAAAAAGGCAGCCCAAAGGAACCATAGCTGCTACCAGTATCATTTTTCAAGCCTGAGTGGACACAACAACAAGCATGAGAATGAAGTTCCAAGCATCCGTGATCTTATCCCTATGTTCTCTGTCAGCTTGGCAGCTCCAGGATACCCATTGGGGTATCCAAGCCTTTGTTCCTCTTCATCGCCACTACCATCATCACCTCAATAAGGCAGTAGCGCCAACCATCGCCACAAGAAGAGCCGAATCTGCTACCGATACTAGTGCTACTGCTACTACTGTCAATGGGGACGCAGACGACGACGAAACTGTGGCTACCGAAGCCGAAACCATTGCTCCACCCGTCCTCGAAACCAAAGCTTCCTTTTCCGTTGACACCACCACCAGCGAGTTTGGGAATCCCGTACATACACTAACTTTTGAATCCATTCCGGGACAAGAAGTGGGTGTACCATCCATCACCATGGAAACTGGAAAAATCGGTAGACAGGCAGCAGGAGCCATTGTCTTGACACGAGGTGACACGGTCTTGTACGCCACGGCGGCACGAGACCATGCCCCCAAAGATAATATCGACTTTTTACCACTCTCGGTAGAACACCAAGAACGATTTTCATCCGCCGGGTTGACGTCGGGATCGTACAACAAACGCGATGGACGACCCGCCGAACACGAAATTTTGACCTGTCGACTCATTGATCGACCACTGCGACCACTCATTAATAGTGGATGGAGACACGAAACGCAACTCTTGAATTGGGTACTCAGTTACGATGGCA